TGTATGCGAGGTGCGTGTCGTACTAGTGTATGCCAGGTTCGGGCATGATTAGTGTATGATAGGTGCGGCGTGCCAGTGTATGCGAGGTGCGCGTGACAAGTGATGTGAGGTGCGCCCCCGTGTTGAAAAAAAAAAAAAAAAAAAAAAACCAGTGTATGCAGGTTCGGCATGATATGTATGCGAGGTGCATACATGACAAGTGTATCGAGGTGCGGCGTGACAGTGTTTGTCGAGGTTGCGGCGTGATCAGTGTATGCGAGGGATGCGGCATGGGAACTAGTGTATCGAGTGCGGCCGTGACAGTGTATTCCGAGGTGCGGCGTGACCAGAGGTATGCAAGGTGCGGCGTGACCAGTGTTATGTGAGGTGCGGCATGACCAATATGTAAGCGAGGTGGCGGGCGTGACCATGTATCGAGGTGCGGCGTGACCAGTGTTTGCATGTTATCGGCAAGACAAGTGTGTATGCGAGGTGGCATCATGCAAGTGTATGCGAGGTGCTGCGTGACCAGTGTTTGCGAGGTGGCTGCTTGACAAGTGGTATGGCTAGGAGCTGCACTACTACGTATTCGAGGTGCGGCGTACCAGTTGGTATGAGAGGAGCTGCATAACTAGTGAATGCGAAGGACGGCGTAACCAGTGTATGAGAGGGTGCGGCAATAAACCATGTATGCGAGGTGCGGCATGACCAAGTCATGTGAGGTGCGGGCGTAACCATTGTAAGCGAGGTGCGTGCGTGACCAGTGTATGCGAGGTGCGTCTGCGTGACCAGTGTATGCGAGGTGCGGCGTGACCAGTGTATGCGTGGAGCGGTCTTACTAGTGTTTCGAGTGTCGGCGTGCCATTGTATGCGAGGTGCGGCATGACTATGAATGCAAGGTGCGGGCCGTGTCCATGTAAGCGAAGTGCGCATGACTAGAGTATGCGAGTACGGCGTGACCAGAAATGCGAGGTGCGGCGTGAACAGTGTATGCGAGTTTGGCGTGCCCAGTGTTATTGCGAGGTACGGCGCGAATCAGTGTATGCGAGGTTTCGCATGAACTAGTGTTTGCGAGTGCGGCGTGACCATGTATAGCGATGGGCGGCATTTACTAGTGTAGTTCGAGTGTCGTGCGTGACCGAGTTGTATAGAGGCGGTGCGTCATGACTAGTGAATGCGATTTCGGCGTGACCAGTGGTATCGAGGTGCGGCATTACTAGTGTATGCGGGTGCGGCGTGACCAGTGTATGCGAGGTGCTGGCATGACTAGTGATATGCGAGGATGCGTTGTGAACCAGTGTATGCGAGGTTCGGCATGACTATTGTATTCGAGGTGCGGCGTGGGGCAGTGTATGCGAGTGCGACGTGACCATGTATGCGAGGTGCGGCGTGACCATTGTAGCAGTTGGCGGCGTTGTCCAGTGCATGCCTAGGTGCGGCGTGACCAGTTTAGCGTGTGCGGCATGACTAGTTATGCGAGGTGCGGCGTCACTATGGGTATGCGAGGTGCGCATTGAACAGTGTATGCGAGGTGCGTCGTGACCAGTGTAATGCGAGAGCTGCATGACTAGTGTATGCGAGGTGCGGCGTGACCAATGTATGCGAGCTCGGCAAATGGGTAGTGTATTCGAGGTGCGGCGTGACCAGTGTATGTAGGTGCGACGTGAACCAGTGTATGGGCCACCGAGGTTGCGGCAGATTAGTGTATGCGAGTCGGCGTGACCAGTTAGCGAGGTGCTGGCTTGACCAGTGTATGCGAGGTCGGCGTGACCAGTGTAAATCGAAGTTCTGGGGGGGGCGTGACCAGTGTATGCAGGTGCCGGCGTGACCAGTGTAATGCGAAGGTGCAGCGTACCAGTGTATGCGAGGTGCCCGGCGTGACCAGTGTATTCGAGGTGCGGCATGACTAGTGTATGCGAGGTTGCCGGCGTGAACCTAGGTATCGAGGAGGTGCGGCGTGAATAGTGTATGCGAGGGCGGCGTACCAGTGTCTGCGAGGTGCGGTCGTGACCAGTGTCTGCCTAGTGCGGCGTGACCAGTGTCTGCGAGGTCTGCGTGACCAGTGTCAGCGAGTGTGCGGCGTGACCATGTATGCGAGGTTGCGGCGTGAACCAGTGTCTGCGAAGGTGCGGCGTACCAGTGGTCCTGCGAGGTGGCGGCGTGACCAGTTGTCTGCGAGGTGCGGAGTGACCAGTGTCTGCGATTGTGCGGCGTGACCATGTCAGCGAGGTGCGGCGTGGACCAGTGTCTGCGAGGTGCGGCGTGACCCCAGTGTCTGCGAGTGCCGGCCGTGACCAGTGTATGTGAGGTGCGGCGTGACCTGTGTAAGTGAGGGTTCCGGCGTGACCAGAGTCTGCGAGGTTCGGCGTGAACCAGTGTATGTGAGGTGCGGCGTGACCATGTAAGTGAGGTGCAAACGTGGCCAGTGTATGCGAGGGGCGGCGTGACCAGTGTAGCGAGGTTGCGGCGTGACCATTGTCCTGCGAGTGCGCGTGACCAGTGTATGCGATGTGCGGCGTGACCAGTGTATGCAGGTGTCGGCGTGACAGTGTAAGCGAGTTGCGCGAGACCAGTGTAATGCGAGTCTGCGTGAACCAGTGGTATGCTAGGTCGGCCGTGACCATTGTATGCGAGGTGCTGCGTGACCAGTGTATGCGAGGTGCGGCGTGACCAGTGTATGCGAGGTGCGGCGTGACCAGTGTATGCGAAGGTGCGGCGTGACCAAAGTAATCGAGGTGCGGCGTGACCCAGTGTATGCCGAGGTGGCGGCGTGGACCAGTGAATGCAGTGTCGGCGTGACCAATGTATGCCGAGGTGCGGCGTGACCAGTGGTATGCGAGGTGCGGCGTGACCAGTATACGCGAGTGTGCCTGCCATGACCAGTGAATGCGAGGTGCGGCATGACCAGTGTATGTTTTGTGCGGCGTGACCAGTGAATGCGATGTGCGGCGTGACCAGTGTATGCAGGTGCGCCGTGTACCAGAGTCTGCGAGGTTCGCAGTGACCAGTGTATGCGAGGTGCGTCTTGACGAGTCCCATAAATGCTTTAGTGTATCTTCTGCAGTTTATTCATGAATATTGAGGTTGCGTTGTCTGATAGTTTGTTGCTGATAGCTGCTCACTGTACTTCAGAAGAGAAAAAGAAGAGGGGAGAGGTAAGAGGGAAAAAGATTAAAGATTAGGAAGAAAAGGAATAGTAAGAAGGAGGGAGAAGATTACAGAAGTAGGGCTGAATAAGAATAACGGAGAGGGAAGAAGATTAGGGAAAAGGAAAAGGAAGTAAGATGGAGTTGGAAATTATAGGAGGGAGAAAAGGAAGAGGAGGAGTAGGAAGGAGGGGGAGGAGGAGAAGAAGAGAAGGACGTAAAATTAAGAGGACAAAGTCTGTGAACAAACTGATCATTATTCATTAATATGCTGAAACTTAAAAAGAATTATATTTTTAATTTAGAAAATTATAAAGAGAGAAGATTGTGTCCTTAATTAAACTCAGTGTATCACCATATAATATGGGGGGGGGGGGGGGGGGGGGGGGGGGGGGGGGGGGGGGGGGGGGGGGGGCTTAATAAATTTTCTTGGCCAGATTAGCTGTCAGAAGAGAAGTGTAATATTTAAAGCAGGTCGTACACTGACCTCAGTGGTCGTAAACATTAAAAAACTTGAGTTTATACTGACCTCAGAAATGGCAAAAAGTTTTGAACATATACTGACCTCAATGATGGTAGGAAGTTCTTACTCTTACCAAGGTAAAAAAACTTTTACACTCACCTCAATGATGTATAAGACCTTACACTCACCTCATCGATGTAGATACCTATACTCACCAAAATGAATGGTAGGAAGACCTTACAATCATCCTCAGTGGTGTAGGAAGACCTACCACATACCTCATTGATGGTAGAAGACCTACACTCCACCTAAGTTGATGTAGTAAGACCTTAAACTCACCTCAGTTATCGTAGGAAGACCTTACACTCACCTCATTGATGGTAGGAAGACTTTACACTCACCTCACTGATGGTAGGAAGAGCTTACATTCTCCTCAGTGATTGTAGGAAGACCTTACACTTACCTCAGTGGTGGTAGGAAGACCTTAACACTTACCTCAGTGGGGGTAGGGAGAATCTCCACTTACCTCAGTGGGGGTAGGAAGACCTTACACTTACCTCAGTGGTGGTAGGAAGACCTTACACTTACCTCAGTGGTGGTAGGAAGACCTTACACTTACCTCAGTGGGGGTAGGGAGACCTTACACTTACCTCAGTGGGGGTAGGAAGACCCTACACTTACCTCAGTGTGGAGTTAGACCTTACACAATACCTCAGTAGGAGGTATTAAGACTTACACTTACCTCAGTGGGTGTTAGGAAGACCTTACACCTTCCCTCAGTGGTGAGGTATGGAATGACTTTACACTTACCTATTGGTTGGTAGTCAACCTTACACTTACCTCAGTGGTGGTAGGAAGACCTTACACTTACCTCAGTGGGGTAGGAAGACCTTACACTTACCTCAGTGGTGGTAGGACGAGCTTACACTCAACTCGTTGAATGGGAGGTGTCAATAAAAAAAATCTTGCACTCATCTTTGTGATGAGCAGGAAGCAGTAAAATCACCTCAGTGATTAGATCTGCAACAAAAGTTAGACTTACAACACACCCTCAGTGATAGCAGCTGCAACAAAGTTAGACTTACACTCACCTCAGTGATAGCAGCTGCAATAAAGTTAGACTTACACTCATCTCAGTGATAGTAGCTGCAGTAAAGTTAGTCTTACACTCACCTCAGTGATAGCCGCAATAAAGTTAGACTTACTCTCATCTCAGTGATAGTACCTGCAGTGAAGTTAGTCATACACTCACCTCAGTGACAGCAACTGCAATAAAGTTAGCCTAACACTCACCTCAGTGACAGCAGCTGCAATAAAATTAGACTTACACTCACCTCAGTGATAGTATCTGCAGTAAAGTTAGTCTTACACTCACCTTAGTGATAGCAGCTGCAATAAAGTGAAACTTACACTCATCTCAGCGATAGTACCTGCAATAAAGTTAGTCTTACACTCACTTCAATGAAAGCAGCTACAATAAAGTTAGCCTTAGACTCGCCTCAGTGACAGTAGCTGCAATAAAGTTAGCCTTAGATTCACCTCGGTGATAGTAGCTGCAATAAAGTTAGCCTTAGACTCACCTCAGTGATGGTAGTCTTGGATGGAGCTCTGACGAAGTCGACCCTACACTCATACCTCCCAGCGTCATGCAAGGTGGCGTCCTGTATCACCATACGTGCTGGCGGCTGCGGGTGAAACCGAGTGCGCTTAGCCATCGATTGATCCCGTGGCGTGTGCTGCCGGTAGCCCAGGGAAGTGTTGCGTGCGTCGTAGCTGCGGGAGAGAGAACGAGCGAGTGTGTATGAGTGGTTTGGGTGCGTGAGTGCGTACAGGGGGCGGTTGATGGAGTGAAGGGAGTGTGCGTGTGTGTGTGTGTGTGTGTGTGTGTGTGGTGTGTGTGTGTGTGTGTGTGTTGTGTGTGTGGTGTGTGTGTGTGTGTGTGTGTGTGTGAGTGTGTGTGCGCGCGCGGGGAAAGTGAGACAGTGACGAATGAGATACTGACTTGAGCGAAGAAGTGATGGGGTAGTGAGTGGATGAGAGTGTGAACCGAAGGGGGGGAATAAAGGGGAGGAGCGAAAACAGGGAAAAGGTAAGTGAAGATGGGGGGGAAAAAAGGGAGTGAGAGAGAGAGAGAGAAAAGGAGAGAAAGAGAGAGAGAGGGAGAGAGAGAGAGAGAGAGATGAAAGAGAGTACGTAAACTCCACACACACACACACACACACACACACACACACACGCACACACACACACACCACACACACACACACACACAACACACATACACACACTTTGGAAGTTAAGACTCAGATGATCACAGGGATGTTAGGAAGCAGTTCTTCAGTTATAGAGTGGTCAGGAAGTGAAACAGTCTGGCGAGCGATGTAGTGGAGGCAGGTACCATACATAGCTTTAAGACGTGGTATGATATAGCTCATGGAGCAGGGAGAGAGAGGACCTAGTAGCGTTCATTGAAGGGGCGGGGCCAGAAGCTGAGTCTCGACGCTGCAACTACAATTAGGTGAGTACACACACCACACACACCCACCCCACACACACACACAAACGACAAAGAGGTGGGCACACCACCAAGTGCTGGACACAGTACACACAACCGAGGAAGAAGTGAAGAGGCTTCTGAATGAGCTAGATACCTCAAAGCAATGGGGCCGGATAACATCTCTCCATGGGTCCTGAGAGAGGGAGCAGAGGCGCTATGTGTACCCCTAACAACAATATTCAATACATCTTCGAAACAGGGAAAAATGCCTGAGGCAGGGAAGACAGCAAATGTACTCCCAATCTTTAAAAAGGAGACAGCATGAAGCACTAAACTACAGACCTGTGCCCACTGACATGTATAGTATGCAAAGTCATGGAGAAGATATCAGAAGAGTGGTGGAACACCTAGAAAGGAATGATCTCATCAACAGCAGCCAACATGGTTTTCAGGGACGGGAAATCCTGTGTCACAAACCTACTGGAGTTCTATGACATGGTGACAGCAGTACGACAAGAGAGAGAGAGGGGTGGGTTGATTGCATTTTCTTGGAATGCAAGAAGGCGTTTGACACAGTTCCACACAAGAGATTAGTGCAAAAATTGGAGGACCAAGCAGGGATAACAGGGAAGGCACTACAATGGATCAGGGAATACTTGTCAGGAAGACAGCACGAGTCATGGTAAAGTGGCGAGGTGTCAGAGTGGGCACCTGTGACCAGCGGGGTCCCACAGGGGCCAGTCCTAGGACCAGTGCTATTTGTGGTATTTGTGAACGATATGACGGATGGAATAGACTCCGAAGTGTCCCTGTTTGCAGATGACGTGAAGTTGATGAGAAAATTCATTCGATCGAAGACCCCGGGAAAAACTACAAAGGGATCTGGAAAGGCTGCAGACCTGGTCCAAATTGGCTCCTGGAGTTCAACCCACCAAGTGCAATCATGAAGATTGGGGAAGGGCAAAGAAAACCGCAGACGGAGTACAGTCTAGGGGGCCAGAGACTACAAACCTCACTCAAGGAAAAAGATCTTGGGGTGAGGATACACCAAGCACATCTCCTGAAGCGCCAAAATCAACCAAATAACTGCTGCGCATATGGGCGCCCAGCAAACCTCAGAAAGCATTCCGACATCTTAATAAGGAAACGTTCAGGACCCTGTACCCGTGTACTTAGGCCATATTGGAGTATGCGGCACCCTTTGAAACCCAAAAACCTAGCCAACCACGTAAAGAAACAAGGAAGTGCAAAGGTTTGCAACAAGACTAGTCCCAGAACTAAGAGGTATGTCCCACGAGGAGAGGTTAAGGAAATCAACCTTACGACACTGGAGGACAGGAGAGATAGGGGGGACATGATAACGACATAAAAAATAAAGAGAGGAATTGACAAAGGGGGAAAGACAGGAGTTCCAGAGATGGACACAGCAACAAGGGGACACAGTTGGAAGTTGAAGAAACAGATGAATCACAAGGATGTTAGGAAGTATTTCTTCAGCCACAGAGTAGTCAGGAAGTGGAATAGTTTGGAAAGCGATGTAGTGGAGGCAAGATCCATACATAGCTTTAAGCAGAGGTATGATAAAGCTCACGGTTCAGGGAGAGTGACCTAGTGGCGACCAGTGAAGAGGCGGGGCCAGGAGCTTGGACTCGACCCCTGCAACTCAACTGGGTGGACAAAGGTGAACACACACACGCACAACAATAAAACATTCAGTATTCACTGCCTCAGGAAGAGCAATCTTAAAATCTGCAAACACTCCGTTCATCATTTAACTTGGTATAGATTTCTACATAACTCGTAGAATCTATAATTCCTCTCTTGTAGAACTATTATCTATTATCCATCGAAATAAATAAGATCTATTGAATACCACAAACATTTAAAAAAATGAAATTTTTTTTTTTAATGTACGACAAATGGCTTAATCCATTATGGATTTATTCGTGAAATAAACCCATAACTGAAAAAAAAAAAAGTTTACCCAATTCACTCCTCTGCAAAGAACGTTCATCGTTGAATAAAAAATATTTCAATCATTGTAATACATCTGTCGTGAATTTTTTATGGGGATTTTTATGTATTGTTGAAGCTGCATGAATCTTTGAGTGTCACCCAGGTGCGCTGTACCCTGTTAATATTCAATCTGAAAAGATCTATGACATTATTCTGAGAGAATCGTTTTTTTTTTTTTTTTTTTAGGAATTTCCATAATTGTAACACATCGGCCGTCTCCCACTGAGGACGGGTGACCCGATAAACAAGAAACGAAAGATCTTTCTTCTTTTTGAATTTAGTGATGTATACAGGAGAAGGGGTTACTAGCCCCTTGCTCCCGGCATTTTAGTCGCCTCTTACGACGCGCATGGCTTACGGAGGAAGGGTTCTTCTTCACTTACCCATGGAGGCTTCATATTTTATTGTTATTAATATTTTATTATTGGTACTTTTCTTCATCATTATCATCATCATCATCTTATTATTATTATTATTATTATTATTATTATTATTATTATTATTATTATTATTATTGGAAATAAATGGTATAAAATACCGACACAATGGAAATATAAACACATATCCAGTATAATGTGATCCTTTATTGACAACGTTTCGCCCACACATGGGCTTTTTCAAGTCACAAACAGATCTATTTGTGACTTGAAAAAGTCCACTGTGTGGGCGAAACGTTGTCAATAAAGGATCACATTATACTGCATATGTGTTTATATTTCCATTATTATTATATTATTATTATTTGTTACATATAAGTACACTGGGGAACACACTAACTTTCCTGTTTAAATCGAAAATGCTTCTATATGTTTTTTTTTTTTTTTAAGTACAAAACGCAGAGAACTATAGTACTATCTTGGGAAACATTAAATAACTTTTTCCATCTCAATAATCCGCACTCAGAGAGGTAACTTAAAATATAAAAGGCACAATACCGTGACTGGAACAATACACAAATAACCCGCACGACGTCATAAGCTCCTCTCTCTTATTATGCGGGTTATTTGTGAAGCGTAACTTAAAGACGATGTTTCGGCCCGTCTGGACCATTATCAGCAGCGACTTGATAATGGTCTAGAATGAATGGAATCGTCAGTTAAAGTTTTCCTGAGGTGCGGGTTATAGGTGAATAGTTCTCAGTGGTGAGATTTCAGTCTTTCTCACCCTGAGTTATGTCCTAGGAGAAGGAAAGGCAAGAATCGTAAGGGGAAGCTCAGATGATAACGCTATAAAGTGAAGCGACCACAGGATCGTTATTGTTACTGTTATTTTATGCTCTAAAACCCGTGTGGGGATCGTTCAGCGCGAGGAGGAGTAGTAGTAGAAGGCTCGATCTGACATCCTTTAATCACTTCGAGATATGCATGTAGATAGAATGGCATAATAAAGTTTATTTGTATAGATCTGTGAATAAAAAGGATATTAATATTTAACCTTCAGGATTCGGAATGAACTACCTTTTAAAGTTTTATATAACTAACAACTACTGAAAAATTTAACTCTTCTACGTGAATATCATAATAATAATAATAATAATAATAATAATAATAATAATAATAATAATAATAATAATAATAATAATAATAAAATAATTATAATAATAATTATTATAATAATAATAACAGCCTGAAAGCAGGATCTTTCAATACAATATTGTGAAAATTGTTCAACAAGAGAGTTGTTATTGTCCGGTCATCACAGTTTATGACTGACTGACATAAATATTTAGAATTAATGGAGACATTATTAATGCGTTTTACAACACTGCGGCGCCCCACAATCTATTGGCCAGAGGTTCACACCAATATATTTCTTCCTCCGCACAATGTTACAACTTTCTCTCTTTTTCGTGTATCATATATATTTATATATATATATAATTAAACATATATATATATATATATATATATATATAATATATATATATATATATATATATATATATATATATATATATATATATATATATATATATATATATATATATATATAATATATTATATATATAATATATAATATATGCGTACCGTATAGGTAAAATTGGTTAATTAGTAAGAACTCATTTAAAATTAAGTCCTTTCCAAAATTTTCTCTTATACGTTTAAAGATATGTATTTTTTTCATTTATATTAATGTAATAATTTTGTTCCAAAAAATCTTAGAAAATTAATCGAACCTTATTATAACAAGCGGAATTTAATTTAGCCTAGAATAATAATACCATATACTAAATATTTAATACTGCTAATAATTTAGATGC